CCCAGGACAAAGCCTCTCGCGACCGGCACATGGGCCAAACAAAGCAGGCACAAATTCGAATGCATCTCAAAATCGTCAAAATGATTCCTAAGGAACACCCCAGAAATGAGGCTTCCAGGCTCGTGCTCAGCGCCGCGCCATAACACTGACGTCCAAAGCTTCGCACCATTCGCCTGTCAAGCACCGTGGGGGTCATCTCTTTAGAGTTTAGGGCCTGGGGCATTAGCTGCTGCTCGGTGGCACCAAAAACTTTGCATGTCTTGGCACTTCAGGGTAGCAACCTTTTACCCTTCTTCAAAACAGGACAGCAATGTGTAATTCATCTGGTCAGGTCCATTGTGTCCATGTTTGCTTCAGGCAAGGTATAGCACCTGGTGTTGAAAAGAGAATCCACGGTGCTATTGGGGTACCCAGCAACCCCCCCCCCTCCCAAACCCGGAAACCCCATAGTATTATATCCCCAAACCTTTTCTAAACAATAAGGCCTATGCCAAAGCCCTTATAGTTGGACCTATACTAACCCTTATAGACCCCTTTAAAGAAACCCTATTCTGATTATAAAGCCCGTATGGTAGCCCCTAAAGCCCATAAGCCCTTCACAAAAATTTCTCTGACCCCTTGCAAGCACTCCTTTCTCGAAGCTTCGGGTCGCGATGCCAGGTCCGCGGAAACACACTCCGGCCCTCTTCTGTTTCGGCGCTCACACTCGGATAATCCAGGCCCTCTTCTGTTTAGGGTTTAGGGTTTGGGATTTAGGGCTTAGGGTTGCGATCCTCTTAATTAGGACCAACTTCAACCCCTCTTTCGCAAACCCTAGACCCTGAACGCACAAGGCAGCCTGAACCCAAGCTCGAAACCCCAGGACCCTGAACGGCTTGCCTCGCAATTTTCCATTCAATCGTGTTGTGTTTCCAACCCATGAAAGCCCCTCCAGAACCACAGCGGGGAGCTTCTTACATTTTTGCTAGGACAGCAAGAGCTGCTGTCTTCAATCCCACCTTCGAGATGAAGCGGAGCGGGAATTTAGATGGGTGGTTGTCAAAATTAGGGTCCCTTTTGGGTACCCTAAATATTCGGTGCCGTAAAATAATAGGACAACCACCCAAATGGATTTAGCGGCTGGTGACGTTTACACGCGACAAGTCCAGGAAGGACTGAAAACGACACTTGACAAACGGTTCAGAGTAGGTACGGCCGACATACAGTAAGAGTCTATAATAGGGCTACTATTCATACTCCTACTTTTTCCATATTTTGAACATTATTCAACTATTACTGAGTGGGGGCCGTACCCAAGATTCGGAGTATTATTCAGAGAGATTTATACCGGGGTCGAGCCGTCGGCCCCTTCTGAATCATGTGAATCCTTTGCATCAACAGCTGTTTAGTGTACATGACGAGATTCGGAATGAAGCTTAAGCCCTCCCCCGAAGAAAAGAGGGATCGTTTCGGGTTTAGAAATAGGGTTTCGAAATTAATGTTTAGGATTTTAAGGATTAGGGTTTAGGGGGCTCCCTCTCACATCTTCGCGGGCTCAAGAATCGGCTTCCTTCGAATGGCGCCTCGGCTGTGATACTACAAGATCGGAGTTTCCAGTACGATCTTTCTTTAAGGGTTCCTTTAAACTCTACCGGGTCTTACAGGGTTCTGCAACCAAGCATAGGAATAGCTATCCCATTTTCGGCACGATGCGATAATGTACACCGAAACCCTGTTCGAATTACTGCCCCCATGTTTCTGATGACGTAGGGTTTGATTCAGGGCGGCCAGCCTTAGCAGTCGAGGCTTCTTTAGTTATCCCAGCACGAAGACAGGAACACTCCCTCGTCTTGGCATCGTGGAGCTAAACGCTACTGACCCACTCGCATCATTAGTTTGACAACCTTGCATCCTTCCTGCATCGCTCAGCAGGGATACTACAGCCAGAGCAACATCACTCTAAGGCCAAAGCGTGTCACAAGTCCTGCCTGACTCACCTGCCCACCTTCCACAAAGTTACCCTCAATCCGAGCCAAGACCTTCTCCATCAAGCAAACACTGGGACGCTGATTTCGGCGCACGAACACTTAACACCTTTCGTTGCTTGTCCGGCGTCTTGCCCTTGCAGCAGCAGTGATGCCTCCGTTTGAGACGTCCTGCCAAAACCGCGCAGAAGGCAAGCGTAAGGCTTGCACTGCCTTTCATTTTAAACATGTAAGGAGCTCGTTTCCGAGCAACGCACCTTGGCATTGGACTGCTTCGCACCTGCCACCTTTCCCCTCTGTCTCTGACGCGCGCCGCATCGGCTGCATGCAAGCTGAACCACTAAGCCAAAAACGATGAACCGTAGTTATACATCCAGTGCTGGTGACAACGGCAAGAGCAGCCCAGTAGCACGAATTACATCGAGCATTGAACTGGCCTAGCCGCTAGCCGAAGCTGGGGCAAGCAGAGCCCAAAGGACATCCCGAAACAGAGCCGCTTGGTCGCGTTACCACGACCACCACGACTAACACTACTAATTATGCTACTGCTACTGCTACTACTGCTGCTGCAACTGCAGCTGCAACTGCAACTGCAACTACTACAACTACTACGACTACTACTACAACTACGACTACGACTACGACGACTATGCCGACGACGACGACCACGACTACTGCTGCTACTACTACTACTACTACTACTGCCACGACGACCACCACCACCACCCACCACCACCACCACCACCACCACTACGACTGCGACTGCGACTACGACTACGACTACTACGGTGCTGCTCCTTCCCCTACTCCTACTCCTGCTAATGCTGCTACAGTTACTGCTTCTGCTACCGCTACTGTTACGGCCGCCTCTGCTATTTCTACCGGAAACGACGATTGCTGCTGCTACCGCAAGTGCTGGTGCTAGTGCTAAGTGCTACTGCTACGGCTGCGGCTCTTGCTGCTTCTGCTACCTTTACTGCGACTACTACTTCTCCGTCTCCTCCCTCCACTTCTTCTTCTACTACTACTACTACCACTACTACCACTACTACTACTCCTCCTCCTACTACTAATACTGCTACTACTACTACTACTACTACTACTGCTACTACTACTACTACTACTACTACGACTGCTGCTACTACTACTACTACTACTACTGCTCCTACTGCTACTACTGCTATTACTGCCACTGCAGCTGCATACATCTTAGATTCCTTCAACAAATAGACGATAACTCGGTCTCCCCTGGGCCTGCAGCTGTGCGCTCGATCGGGGCACCTGTCGTCTGGACAAGAAGAGCGGGAGCCCTCAACTTGCATTCCTGGCCCTGCAGAACCTGGGCATCTAGGCTTCAGGGACTTTTTTGGGGGTTTGGGACGTGGCTTAGGGGTTTGGGACGTAGGTTGAGTATGCTTAGGGATTTAGAACAAGAACCTGCAAGAACCTGCAAAACAGTAGGTTTTGGTAGCTTAAGGGTGGCTTTAAGGACTTCGGGGTAAGGGGTTTAGGGACGCAGGGTTCCGTTGTTTGGGGTTTGGGGTTGGGATTGTGGGTTTGGGCATGCCAAGAATCACAAACCTAAGGCATACCTCAAGTCGCCTTGTCTCCTTGCATCCGCAAGTGCTTAACCTCAAAATTTCATAAACGCTCCGGACCCAAAATGCCCATAAACCCCGTAGACCCCGACCTCAACTCTGAACTCTCGATGCTTTGCATCCCTACCTGTGCCCGGTTCTGAAGATGCCAGGATTCCGAAAACTCCTATCTACTAATATAGGGGCCTTAATAATTAGCATCGGGTTTGGGGCCCCTTATACTATAATTATTGATTATTTCGGCCCCTATATTATGGCTCGGCATTGAGCTCAGAGGACAGGCGAACCAAAAGCATGAGTCAATGCGGCGTACGGCTCTTTGGGGCTTTAGGGGATTTTAGGGGCTACAGAAGCTCTTCCACCAGCTCGCATTGCGTTGTGTTGCTACACCCTGGAACACTAGCCCGTTAACTCCGAACCCCAACATACACCCCGCTGAACCTCAAGCCCTGAACCATGTAAACCTCAGAACCCTAAGCCTCACACCCCGAACCTGGTCCCCTAAATTCGAAACCTTCAAGCCTAAACCCAAAACTCTAAGCTCTAAGGTCCTCTTAATGTTGTTACAAGTTGGCCCGTCCGCTGAAGCTCGCTGGTCACCGCGAGCAGATACGCCCGCTCGGAGAACCCAAGAACTCTTCAGTTGGGGCAGGACTTTAAGAGTGCCTTTGAAGGAATTGCAAAGGTTCCTATCTAGGGGTTTCGGAGATAGGGTAGATACCGTCTAGAATATTTGGAAGATCCTTCCAAGTGATCTGGGCCCGGGTGCATATTCTCCGCTTGTTCGTTGGGTTCTCTGTGCATAGCGGAAGCCAAATACAAAACTGCAAGAATCATAATCCTGCTCTGTGGATGATGCAGATAACGGAGAAGCGTTGAGCTCGATGGGTTTTCGAAGGACACTAACTGTTGGAATAAGGTTTTGGTGGCATATTGTAGTACAAAAACGGTGATCATCATCGTCAACATCATAATACTCGGTTTAGGGGGAGAGGTGCAAGTGTATAGCGTAAGGCTGCCGGTTTGGGACTCCAGTAGAGGGAAGCCCCCTAAGGATCATCCACAGGCAGAGCCTCATGTAACCCACGAGCTGCGGGCAATGGGGTTTAAGGTTGGGCATTGTAGCGGCAATGCAAAAATTACAGGCCGGCCACGGCCATCCGCTGCTGTACGGGCAACCATCTTCAATCAAGATGGCACACCGTCGGAACCCTTTCTGTGCACTGTCAGACTGCTGCCTCTTGAACCATGTAACACAAACACGAAGTCGCTGGTCATCACCATGCCAGCTTTTCAAGAAACTGCCACTCGCAAATGATTCACGGCTGACAGACAGGGATTTGAAGCATGCAAGTCGAAGACCCTCGCAACAGGACAGTGCATAAATGCACTCTCTAGTCTGCTGTTGCGAGAGCCCTCCCGGCCATGTGCCAGCCATTCACAGGATATCAAAGCTCGCACGGCAGACCGGGCAGGCATTCGTAGAGCCTTTCGCTGATAGCCTTGGTTGGACCCGGAGAAGGAACCCCTTGACCTAGCTATGATTATGGCGATGAAAGCCGCAAGAGTCGCTCACAGTTGTACTAGTTGCAAGAGCTTCCTCAACCTTAACGATACCATTCTGGCTGTGGTGTTGCCAAGATTACCCTTTGTCTCGTTGTACTGGAGGACGACGACGACCACCATCACCACCAGCAACAGACAGGTGATGACGATAACAACAACCATGACAACAGCAGCAAGAGCAAGAGAAGGAGCAGTAACAACCTTCTACTTCTACTTCTACTGCTACGGCCCCGGCTACTGCTACTGCTGCTACTACTACTCCTCCTCCTCTTCCTCCTCCTCATGCTGCTGCTGCTACTGCTACTTTTTGGCTCCCACTTGTCACTCGCTCGGATTCCGCGCTACTGCTACTACTGCTGCTACTGCTACTACTGCTGCTACTGCTACTACTGCTACGGCTACTACTACGACTACAGCTAAGTCCTACTACTACGACGACGACTACGACTACTACCGCTACTGCTGCTTCTCCTGCTCCTGCTCCCCTCCTGCTCCTGCCCCTGCCACGGCCACTGCTGCTGCTGGTGTTGCTGTTTTGACGGCTTCTCCTGCCGTTGCTGCTACTGCTACTGACGCTGCTACTGCTGCTGGCAGTGCTGCTTTTCTTGCGATATACTCCCGTGGACCGCTGCTGCGACAACCACAAAAACCACCATCATCACTGCCACCTGCTCATCAGGAAAACATTGCTAAGACTAGCTGCATGGGCGCGGACCTGGCAGTATCATTGGTATTCGCTTGACGTATACGTGGTACCCTCTTCCTCTGAAGGTCGAGGCGCTCGGCACGACCATCACATCAGTCCGTGTAACGACACGGCAAACCTTAAGCTTTTTATGAGAGAAGTATTTTGCCAGTCTGTCCGACCAGCTTTGCCTGTAGGAGCAATGTCACCGTCACCATTAATATGCACGGCTGCCACTTATACCCAGGAACGACCACATCACCATGCAGTGCTCGTGGAAGACGTGCCCGCAAGGAAGCACAGCGACATTGCTCGTCGCATCGAAGTCCTTGGGTCTCGATGGCTCGCAGATTTCAGGATTAGCTTCGGGGTCTACTTGGAGGCCCTTTTGACTTAGTAAGTAGGGTTAGTAAGGTGGGTTATGGGGATTATAATGGGGTTTCTAGGGGATACTAAGTAGACTTACTAAGTCAAAAGGGCCTCCAAGTAGGCTTTAGGGGTTACAGGCAGACAGCTACAGGTACCATGGTCTGGGATTCAAATCCGTGTTTGGTGACCAACGCGCCTGGACCCGACCTTTGCGAGATCAGCAAAGCCGTGAACATGTAAGTTGCCTTACTCGCCTTACTGCCCTTAAGCCTGAATCATAAACACTACTATGTCCTGAAACCTCTCACAAGGAGCCTCAATATGGAAAAAAGCCAACATGTAGGAAAGCGTCATCCATGCAACAGATGCACGCCTGGCTCGTTGCCTCCGGAGGCGGGAGAGCATTCTTTCAGCTTTGCGTGCCAGGATCTTTCTAGGCTTCGACTTCGATTTTCGCGTTTCACGTTGGCTCAAGGCAGGCAAGGCTTCAGAACGATTGGTTCAGTTACAATTTCGCACTTGCTCGAGAATCCGACCGAGTGTTAGGGTTCAGCGGATGTGGCTTCTGCGCCTACTCCACACGCACACGTAGCCTGGCGATGTGCATAGTTAAGCGAGGCTACTTCTCCTCAAGCATCACTAGTTTCTCAACTAACACATTGTGCACATTGCCCGGTCGATTTTCGCGACTTGCACTCCGGAGGATAGACCATGCTGGTAGACATGCTTGCTGCTGGGGCTCTGCTTGCTTGCAATCATTGGCCCCCAAAAACTCCAGATTCATCACTGAATTGATCAAGACCTGCCATCACCATCACTACCTACTACAAAAGTACTGACTTGGCAAGTCAACCACCTGGAAAGACAGGTTCCGCAGCCCTAACCTCCAAACCAAAAACAAGAGCTAGAGACACCTGCGATTTTGCGGATAGGTAAGCTTCCAGGTACTGTCACCTCCATTAGAGTAGCTTTCCACCATTCTCACCCTACTTGCTACTAATGACCTGCGATGTCCCGAGATCCTGTAAGCAACTTCTATGACGGGAGGCCAACAGAGGGTTTAAGATTCTTGGGGTCGGGATTCCTCAATATGAACCCCATTATGGGAACCCCAATCCCTACTAAATCCCCATAGGCTAAAACCCTTTGGCCTCCTATGAAGTCTTAACCCTAAACCCTATAGATCCCTTAAAGGAACCCTTATAGCACCCTTTAAAGGAACCCTAGGATCGCTGTCCGCCTGAAGTGGAGGGGTCAAGACGGAGGCGGGGTCGGCCTTCAGGGAGCGTCGACTCTCACAGCTTGGCGATAAAGGCTGAGTAAATAAGATAGCCTTAATAATTAGAATAGGGTTTTGGGCCCCACTATACAATTCTTATAATACGGACCCCCCAAAAATAGTATCGGTAATTATTTATGCCCCTATAGTAGCATCTGCAGTTCATGAAGCTCGCGCTGACATTGCAGGCGGCAAAACGCAAGCGAACAACATATGGCAGAAACGACCGGGAAGAAGAGGAGCACGTAGGCAAAGCACTTCTCACGGTCGGAGTGACACTCTGGAATACGGTGAGTCGTGTTTGAACAGTTCGAATGAGCGAAATGCGACTAGAACTAGCTGAGCTCGGTCCATGAGCATTACCATCTGGCACTTCGTCGTCTGCAACCACCTAATCAATCCCTTCGTCTTTATCAGTCTCCTCTTTATCTCCAGCTTTACCATCGTCAGGCTTCTCCTTCGTAATACGGCAAGTTCTTAGAGTGGGGTCTCACCACGCACTGCCACACCGCGCAGACAACGTCTTTGATCTCGGTTGGATTTAGCCGGGGAGTCGCTCTCTGCTCGCTCTCTGCACGAGGGAGGCGACAGAACCGAGGGCGGGCAGGGGCCTTGTTCACGGAGCACTTGCCCATGCTCGGGCTGCACTTGATGCGCATGTGAAAAAACCTTGGGGTCACAAGAGAGAGGCTCCCGTGCCCAGCTAAAAAGCTCCAAAACCCTTGGGGTGGCTAGGATCCTACCGACGCTGCTTTCTGTGTTAGCGTCTCTTATTTTCGACAACTAAACCATGGGATTTGCTGGGAGCCTGCTGCAAGCCATGCTGATTTCGACACTCCTCAAACCTCCGCTGTGCACCCAACAGCTGGCACAGCGAGCGAATTTTCAACACTAACCTCATGCCTCCAAGCCTAACTCTTCCACCAGCACAGGAGCTGCAGCGACTCATTGTCGAGATTCTTGAGATCCTCACAAGGCAGAAGTTCTGATGCATTGAAATGCGTGGAAGGTGTTCCGTTCAGGGAGGGCTCATCTCTCGCGGCAGGTTCTTCCATCATCTCATCCATCCACTGCTCCATCCACGCATGCATCCGTCCGTTGCTCCATCCATCCATGCATCGATCCTTTTTCCCGTCCACCCTACTTTTACCGTCCATCCATTCATGCAGCACTTCTACAGACCCTCCACAAACAGGAATGCCGCCGTAGTGACTACATCGCTGCTCCAAGTGCTTTCGCGACACGCATTCCAACATATGGGGTGCCTTATTCCGGGGTCTTGATGGACAGGATCCTAGTATTTGGGGTTCCAGGTACGAGTCCCGCACTGTACGCTCTCGCAACTCGGACACAGGCAGAGTCCCCACTTTGGGTTTTGCCTTCGAGCAAGTGGAGAGGTTGCTGGTAGAAACGTTGATGTAGTCGGAAGCGGGTGTACAGGAAGTGGGCAGCAACTACTGTGAAAACATTGCCACTGATGGGTCTACCGCTTCAAACTCTGTTAGCGCCTTATAATCTCAACTTCTCACGAACACACATAAAAGCCCTTGGAAATCCTGCACCAAAACACCAAACTTAATTATGTAATCCCATTTAATTACAACCAATCAGCAAGAACCTCCAAATGAGCTGGAAAGCCCTGCAAAAACTCAACAACCTTTTCTGGGGAGATACACGAATTATACCTCAGACACATACTCAGACTCTGGCTTCCCCTACACCCTAAATGCGAAACTCTAAGCCCAAACCTCTGGAGCCTGAATCCTAAACTCGACACCCGAACCCCGAACCCGTTTCTTTAGTGCCCCCCCCCTTGAAGCCCTAGCAAGGCGCCTCAAAGGTGCCTGGAGCCCAAACCCGACTGGCTTTCCTTCCAACATTTCCGGGTTTCAGGATTTCAGGTTCAAGGGCTCCCATAGGGGATTCAAAATGCTCTACATATGATTATGCTGCTGTCTGGCCCTTAGCATTCCGATAATTATCAAGTTCACACTGCAGCGCGTGCGTCTCTTGTCTACCTTGCGCTGACAATACTCGCGTGATGGCTTGCTTCTGAGTACGAACCCAAATTTAGGGTCCAAGTATCATTATGGTAAAAACTTAGGCCCCCAAAATACCCTATAAGTACCCAGAGGCTCCTTCATAGTTCCTTTTTGGGATTACCTTATAGGATTCTATATATGAACCCCAAAAAGGAACTACTTTGGAGCCTTGAGGGTATATACCAGAATGATACTTGGAGCCTTTGGGGAAGTATTGGTAGCGCTTTGCTACTCCCTAAACCCAAGCCCCACGTAAACCCCATCCTTAAGCCGGAATAACCTACCTCCTTAAGGACTTATATAAGGAACTCATAATAAGGAACCCTAAAAAGGTAGGTTATTCCGGCTTAAGGCATACTTACCACCTCAAGCTCAACGCAAAGCTCCGGGACGATTGAAGGAAAGGGCTTGCAGTACGATATAGTACGATCCACCGACAGCCAAGCCACTGGTAACGCCCAAACCCTGCTTCAAGTATCTTGGGGTATGTAAATCAAAGATTGCCCTTAATAAGGCCTTAACCAGGGCAGGTTTACATGACCATCTCAGAGTTTATGGCGGCTTTGCTTAAGTTTCATGGGTGCCTGATGATAGAGCTGCAATCACCTTAACTACTGGTTCTGCAAAAACAATTCCTTACGCCCTGCGCATTGCTGCTTTGCGTGAGTTTTGCTTGGAAGAGGTAGGGGGGGCGGGGGCGCACTTAGGGTGCAGGGTGTTACAGTGCAGGCAGGGCCAGCGTCATGGAAAACTGCTCACACTGGAGCAAATTCCAAAAAATAGTCGATCGTTGTCTGTTTATTCTGTTGGCTGTCGAAGGAGCCCTGTAAAAGGCGAAGGGGAACACAAAACCCAAAACCCATGACACTGCAATCAACCTCAAGGCCCTAAGAAAACGGCTTACCGTAAACCCTAATCTGTGTTCTTCTTAAATTTTCAACTCAAGTTAACATCATGGGGGGTCTACAAGAAACTTAAAGTGGTTTCCTATGTTTAAATTCCTGAACAAAAAAACCCTAAACCCCGGAACCCTAGACCCTTTCTCCTAAACCCCTAAATCCCTAAAAACCCTAAATCCCTTACAGTTCCCTTAAAGGAACCCTTATAGTACCCTCTAAAAGGAACCCTTACAGTACCCTCTAAAAGGAACCCTTAAAGGAACCCTGAACCCCAAAGCTGACCTCAGATCGTGGACGGGCCCTTCGACTGTCGACCTCGGCTTGAGACTCCGAAAAAAACGTGCTGTGTAAGACGGCTTGGGCGTTCAGGGTTTCGGGGTTAGGGCTTCAGGGCGTTAGGGTTTTCGGAGAATAGGGTTTCGGCACTCACAGGGCTTAGGGTTTCGGGATTAAGGTTTAGGGCTTTAGGGTTTGTGCCAGTGTTTGGGCGAGCTGGTGTTGGCTAGTTCTACTCTCTCTCTCTCTCTCTCTCTCTCTATCTCGCTCTTTCTCTCTCCTTCTCGGTGTCTCTCCTTATGTCTGGTGTATCTCTCCCTCTCCCTCTCCCTCTCCCTCTCCCTCTCGCTCTCTCTCTCTCTCTCTCTCTCTCTCTCTTTCTCCGACGCTGTCTGCCGCTATCTGTCTCTCTCTCACGTCCCTCCTCTGCCTCTCTCCCTCTCTTCCTCTCCCCCTCCCTCCTTAACTCCTTCCCTCCCACCCTCCCTCCGTCCCTCCCTCGCTCTCTCTTTCTCTTTCTTCTTCTCCCAGGCTTAAGGGGCGAATTAAGCCCCCCGGGCTCTCAAGCCCACCCGCCTTTTACGGGCTGTTAGAGGGGAGTGGGGAGCAGGTGATGCTTCCACCGAAAAGGCACAACTTTGAACTACTTCATCATGTTTGTTTCGGTATGTCACCACCTTTTGTTAGACGTTTGAACTATGCATGGCTTGTGGCAGCATTTCCCACGATTGTGCAGGTATCTTACAAGCAACCAGCAGCAGGCTCAAAGAAGCAAGGATGCCCTACAGGTGTTCAGCTGAGGGTGCTGCACCATACTTGGCTTTGGGGTTGTTGCCATATTCCCAGGGCATCCGGAGTATACTGCCTCGTCACAATTTTACGCTTTGGAATGGCTTCCCCCGTGTCCTGCACAGCTTATCTTCAGGACTGCGAGTACGTATGCACCTGGAACAGACTCGTTTGGAGGTCGGTGTCAAGTAGCCTCCTTGTGCGAAAACAATCTTCCAGGAGTCCGCCACTGCATCAAATCCGTGCAACGGGAGCCTCACCGGGTGCACGCAGCAGCTCCTGGGTCTTTCACGCCAGCACCATTCGGGCAACGCTGCTCACCAGAAACCATATCCACGACGAGCAGGGCCATTGACACTTTGCACCCGAAAGCCCGGCGGAGGGGGTGCCGCTTGAGCGGGCGCTTGCGGAGCACGGAAAGGGTCAACCCAGACCTGAGTTGCCGTGTTCGAGGAAGCCTGAGGGTCTTTGGGTGCCGGCGGAGCCTCGAGCTCTTCCATCATTTGGTCCACGCACCCACGGAGTAATTCCAGCACCTGCTGGTCACGGTTGGCCACTGGCTTGAGCTGCCTTCGTGAAAACCTCCAAGACGAGGATTTCTCTCTCTCTCTCTCTCTCTCTCTCTCTCTCTCTCTAAGTCTCTCTCTCAGTCTCTCTCTCCCTTTCTGTCGCCGTCTCTCCCTCTCTCCCTCTGACACACTCGCTCGCAATCTCTCTTTAAATTTCTCCCCTTCAATGCGTTACCCGCCCTTTGTACCGAGCCAGCGAACGGCAACACAACGAGCTCGTTTTACGAAACGTGCACATATCAAGCAGTGCACGCGTTATGTTGTCATGCTTGACCAGTTCAAACCCGAGACCACTGGCCAGACCCCGGAACCCTAAACCCGCTTAAGCCCTATGATTTAGGTACTGCCCCTATTATAGACTGCAATTAAGGTCCTACTATACCTATACTAGGAATATTATTCAACTATTACCGAGTGGGGGCCGTACCCAACCTATGATGCCCAAACCCTATTCTGATTATTGAGGCCCCCATAGTATAGAACCCTACTGTAGATCCCTTATAGACCCAAACCCTCGATTTACGCAGCCCAGCTGCAGGCGCTGCGCCAGCCACTCCAAGATAATGCCAACAATCCTCGGCCAAGTCTGCGGTGCCAGGATTCACGTTGTAGACTCTCTCTTTTTGTCTCTCTCTCTCTCTCTCTCTCTCTCTCTCTCTCTCTCTATATATATATCTATCTATCTATCTATCTATCTATCTGTCTCTCTCTCTCTCTCTCTGTGTCTATCTTTGTCGCTGGGTCCATACGTTGTTATACAATACACGGGTATACAAAATTCTTTACCATGCATTACACACCCACATAGAATCCAATATACTGCTAGACGACTGTGCATGTACATGTGTAACGGACTCGTCCTTTTCTGTATCTCTCTCTCTCTCTCTCTCCGCCTTCCTCCCTCCCCTGTCTCTCGGTCAAAAGCAATCTAGGCAAAGCGTGTACGCACCAACATAAAGCACCTTGAATTGCTAAACGACTTTTGCAGTTACATGTATGTAGGTAGGTACGTGTCTCTGGCTGGGTGGACTTATCAGGCGGGCAGAAGAAGAGCCAAATGGAATGAACAGCTGCTCCGTCTCGCTTCGACCATTTGTTAACGACCCTTTACTTAAAGGAAAAGGAAGCGAAAGGGATATTAAGAACAAGATCTTACATGTGGCTAGTGATGGGAAGTGGTGGGCGCCGCGCACGGGAGGGACATTACACAGTTCGCACTGTCCGCGCCCATGGCAGCTGAGAAAAATGTACATGCAAAACTGCTGGATATAAACCAACAAACATACAACAAGGCTATGTATGTATATCAACGTAGAACTTAAAACACACAAATTTGTTCAGAGGTAAAAGTATATGTGAGTTCTTGTTTGTATACTTACAAACACGCACTAACATTGGTCAAGATCACGGGCTGTCTCCTTCCCTGTTCAGGTCCTGTCAGCCAGTGGAATTTACATATCAACTCTAAACCCAAAAACCTGAACCCGAAACAATCCCGAACGCCGAAGCCTTGACAGCCGCATTCCACATGGCTCCACAGACACATTGTACGTTTAAATCCTTGCGACTACACCAACGACCCCTGGAACTTGAAACCCAAAGCGTTGCCCTTCATGCCATCCCGGCGACATCGATGGTGGCCATTGCTGCTATGGACTTCATTATTATTGCTTGTTCTTTTCGTTAGGACCCTGGTTCGGGATACCGGGTTGCTACGAGTTTGGGAAAGTTGCTGTCATGTGCTGGTGTGACTGTACTGCTGCTGCTGCTGCTGCTGCTGCTGCTGCTGCTCTTATTGTTATTGCTGATCAGGCGCACGATGAAACAGGAGGCCGAGATAATGAAGACAATCAGCTGGTACTCCCCTGAGCGACTGTGAGAACAAAGTGCACCTCCCCTGCGGAACATCTTCAGAAGACAGCCTTGCATGAAACCTAGCTCCTGGTTGGGATAGGATTAAAATGTACATTTTATTCCAGCTATGATGAAGAAACATGAGAGCTTAGGATCGATGCGAAGCCTACAACCCGAGACCCATCTTCGTGTCTCCAGGTCGCGAGTGTGGCAGAGAGTGACAACCAAAGGCAGCGTAAGGCCAGCAGCCTCGTGCTAAGCAGGCCGTGGGGATGCAAGCTTAAAGGATCATGGGACTTAGTAACTGGGGTTATAATTAGGATAACTATACTTATAACTACTTATAACCCCAGTTAAATACTTGTAACCTTACTTACTAAGTCCCATGATCCTCCAAGAGCAAACTGCATTTACGAAGCAAGGTAGGGGGAGCCTGTAAGCTGAACAATTCAGGTTCTTTTTGCTCTGACTGATCCCTGGGCTGGGGATAAGCCGTGATTTTGAAACCCGCCCTCGGATTGGAAGAAGCAGCCAGTTTTTGAGCCTTAGGGTCTATCTTGATTCCAGTCCAAGCAGCGATCGCCATGTACGCGCAGGCCAAAATCACCCGACGAGTCACGGAATGCTGAAAGTTGTTGCCTTCAACACCTCGGTTTACATAAGTCTTCGGCTCTCACAGCTGGGGTTTCGAAGCTACTGCTCGCCCAAAACAAGGCAAGGCTGTAAGGCACAAGCTGCTGCGACGCCGGCGAAGGGTCTTAACCCAGAGAACCCAATACCCCTTAATTGAGGAATATACCTTAAATCATATTAGGGATCATATTATAATTTAAGGTATATTCCTTAATTAAGGGGTATTGGGATCTCTGGGAATATCCTAAGGCTTTGCTTGGCGCTTCTGGGCTGCGTTCCGCTCCCTGGCTGGAAAGTGCCAAGGGGCCCAGCATCTTCCAAAGCGCCGTACTAGTGAGAACCGATCGTCGGCAGGGGGGCACAGGCAAGTGCCGTGCTGTACAACCGCTCTGGGCCTAAATGCTGCGAAGGCGGCAAAATCCAACGAGCTTTGCTTGAACCAGGTCTGGAAACACCTGGAAACCTCTAAACCGCCTGAACCCCCCCTTGAAGCCTGCACCTTAAACCTTAAAATACTCAAAAACCCGGCGAGCATGTAAGACTCTGAAGTGTAAAGGCGGCTGTGGGTGGCAAGAGGAAGAAATGCTGGAATGGTGTGGCAACTACCCTGTGAAAGCCTCCCTGCTGCTGTAGCGCACTGCTTCTGTATCTCTGCAACGTGCTCCGGGTACACGGCGCTCACCATTTCCTTGATGAGTTGTGAGGAATGTTCAGACGATCATATGTAGAGACATCGAAAACCGAGGGGTGCAAGCTCCAGTTTCCGAGGTTTGAAGATCCCTCGAGCATCCAAGCAGCTGACGCCCTGAAGTGGGCATTGCGGTTTAGTTTAGGAGCCGGAATCTCATGGAATGCCACGGTGCGCCATCTTACTGCACTGGTCCCTGTCCCTAGCTGCCCCGAGCTAAGCGCTTCGAACCTCCAAGAAATGCCAAGCCCCATAGACACGACCCTCGTGCCACTACCAGATTTGTCTGTACTCCTAGATCTTCATACAAACCGTTATGTACAGTACAACCTAAAGGGTCAGGGTGTTTATTTTTTTGTTGTGGCCCCTTTTTGCTCGGGCCCCGTGTCAATGGTTTCTAGAATTCTTTTTGCTGCGGTCCCAGGGCGTGCAAGGTGTTTTTTTTTTTGGCTCCGGCCCCGCCGAAAGGCAGGGGAAAGAGCGGGGCCAGAGCAAAAAAAAAAACACCACCCAGACCCTGCCCCGGAAGGGTCGCCCCGGCCCACAGTGAGTGAGTCAGCTTCCGGGCGGGGCCGCAGCAAAAAAAAAAAAAAAACACCCCGACGGCGAGCGGGGCCGCAGCAAAAAAAAAACACCACTCCGGCGGAGAAGAAAGCATCGCTGCCCAGGCCCGCGCCCCGAAAGGTCGCCCCGGGCCACAGTGAGTGAGTGAGCGTCCGGGCGGGGCCGCAGCAAAAAAACCAAACACCACCCAGACCCTGCCCCGGAAGGGTCGCCCCGGCCCCGCCCGGACGCTCACTCACTCACTGTGGCCCGGGGCGACCTTTTCGGGGCGCGGGCCTAGGCAGCGATGCTTTCTCCTCCGCCGGAGTGGTGTTTCTTTTTTTGATGCGGCCCCCGCCGAACTCGGCGAGCCAATAACAAAAAATGTCTGGTGTACTACATCGGGTCTAAAACGACCCGGCGGGGCCACAGCAAAAAAAAAACACCACTTCCCAACCTAAAGAATTTACAGCGACCCTCCTAGAAAAAAAGCCGTGGTGGGCTGACGTAGCCAAAGTGGCCAGGAGTGCTTCTTGGTCTTGGTCGTCACAGAGGCTGCTCCCCACAAGAAAGGAGGCTCATGCAGGGCTCCCTCTCACATCTTCGCGGGCTCAAGAAGGCGTACTTCCAGGTTGGACGCATGACGCCTCGGCTGTGATATAAGGTCGGCACGATTTCTACTACTTTCTGTATGGGTTCCTTGAAGCCCTGCCGGGTTCTTACCGAGCGTAGGAATAGTTGGCAACAGCATCCCCTGATAGGCGCCGTACGAAACTCCGTTCGAATTACTGCTCCCATATTACTGATGACGTGCAGGGTTTGATCCAGGGCTGCCGGGCTTAGCAGTCGAGGGTTCTTGTCCGGATCAGGTGTCAAGAATTAAACTGAGGGGCTGTCTGTACAAAATGGGGGGGCCACAGATGAGGCGGGGTGCCGTTTGGAGGTCCACATACATGACACATCCTACTTCTTGGGGTCTAGATTCGGGGAGCCCGGTCTTCTGAAACTCGTCTGATCTCAAGCTTCATAAGCGGAACCCTCATGGCCACTAAAGAGTCGAGGTGGAGGTGCTGAAGCACAGGCTCTGTGCGATGCCTGCGGTGTCCTCTATGGTTCTAGGCTTTCAGCTCGACGTGTAAGTACCTTAATTGGGGTTATAAGTATAGTTACCCTAATTATAACCCTAGTTACTAAGGTAATTTAGCCATGATCTGTAAACCACCACAAAGAATCAGAACACCTACAACACATCCGAAGAGTCCCACACACTCTAGCCTCACGAAACCCTGAATCCCAACAAATCGGTAAACCCATAGGGTGGGGCTCAGAGCTCAAGGCTTCAAGTTGAAATGTAAACAGGGCCGTAGTGGCGAGGGCCGCACAGCCCAAAGTAGCGCCGGAGCTGGGTCGGGAAAGTCCACCAGCGGCGGCGCTGCAAACCACTGCCGGCCTCTTGCACTGATTTCACGATGTAGGGTTTAGGTGTCTATGGGTAGTTTAGGGATATGGTACCGCCTGAGTTTGTTTTGAAAGAGACACTCGTGAATATCTCTTCTTGTCTGGAAAGGCTGCATCTTCTTGGAGACAGAGAAGTAGCTGGAAAAAAACCTTGCGGGATCAGAATACAAACCTACAAAACAATCATGCATACACTGTGTTACTCTTATATGGGTGGTTGTCAAAATTAGGGTCCCTTATTGGGTACTCTAAATATTAGGTGCCGTATTATAATAGGGACCCAAAAAGGGGCCCTAATTTTGACAACCACCCATATGACCATCTTGGAGGATGCCTGAAGTTGCTGAAGCTTCCGTACCCGAATGTTCAGCACGTGCCTTGCCACTGGAAGTCCCGGCCAGCGTCAGCACAAGCGATGCTCAGAGTGGAGTTCTGGCAGTCGAGCAGGGTTTAGGGTTTAATGGTTGGGGTTTCAGTTTAGATTTAGGGTAGATGCCCAGACGCTGCCCAGATCTTCCCACACTTGGTTAATGAAGAACCCTTGAATATGAATAGGATCCCTGTTATCGCACAATTTGAGCGAGGAATCTATCCATCGACTACAACAGAAAGAATCCCTAACATTATGCCGTCAAGGTGCCATTGCAGAAAATCCCTGTGCGTTACAAGAGAACCCATCACATGATCGAATGAGCATTCCTCTTCTCTAAGGTGTATTGGAAATTCTGGAAGACTTTCCCTCCCTGGCTTGCGACCACAGTTCGCACTGGCTGGGATGCCTGGAGTGCCGGAATCGGTTGTAGAGTTCTGGGCCTACGCAGCCCCAATCAACCTTGCGAAGACCCGGTCATGTCAGAGTTTCACCAATCCTTCATGGACCCCAATACGGATCGTGAGTGAAGGATCCTTATTGCCAGCTTCCGTGAACAAAGCATGCGCACATTTAAGAAAGCCCGCTGCTTGTAAACAAATTCGACCCACCAGCAATCTAAAGCCTAACACCCTGAACTCCAAACCCAATTCAGAAAACCCCTGAAGCCCGAAACCGAAAACCCGAACAATCTCTATCAGAAGAAAACCAGAGTCCCCTCCTCGAAGCGCAGGGCCCAGCGAACCCCTGCCTTCTGAAAGGAACATGGGACTCATAAAGTAAGCAGGGTTATCAATAGGGTACATTGGGGCACCTATACTTACTAAGTGGCCACCCTTTTTATAATAGAGTGACGTATGACCCCAATTAAAGTACCAAGTTAGCGTAGGCAGGGAGCTACCACGATTCCAGGCTCAAAACAGGGAGGATTCTACAATTCTACTTGCTCTATACAGGTGTTCTATCAATGAAGGGTTCCATCAGACTTCTCCGAACTGCTAAAGGGGTTGCACTTGGTTTCTACAAAGCCTTCAAGAAGGTTTTTTACAAACGGTCTCACAAAGCTTCTACACCAGGTTCTACACGGTTTCGGTTACACCTCGAAAAGATTTCCATACGGGATCGAAACCGGCTCCACGAAGCTACAACAAGCAGGTTTGTGCGGTTCTGATGTTTGGAACTGAACTGAAGGTGGAAGATTCACCCTATGTAAACCCTAACCATACCTCTCACTGAGAATCAGGGCTCACGGTTTTTAGGGCTTCGGGTAAGAAGCCCCACATAGAAGCATCTGAGGGTTGGAATCCTCAGCTCGACAGTCTCACTCTAAACCCAGCTATAGCTATGTCGAGCTTTTCTTCTGTAGCGGCTGGTCCCAAACATAAACAACGAGAGCACTCCAGATCCCAGAAACTAAAAGCCGAAAACCCTTGAAACCCCTTGATCCCAAAACCCGAGACCCTATACCCTAAAACCGAAATCCTAAACCCCACACCCTAAAACCGAAACCCCAGACCCGAAACCATACACCCTAAAACCGAAACCCAATCGCCCGAGTTCTCCCAAAAGGCAAGCCCGGAGCCTTCTTGCCAGGCGCTGTCCAAGCCAGGGGTGACAGCTTGCGTCCTTTGCTGTTGTTGGGTTCAGGGTTTAGGGTTTAGGGAGGTATCTATTCGAGTGTGATTGTTTTAGATTCAGGGTGTAGCGGTTTGGGGTTTTATTCGTGAGGGTTACTACATTGGCGTTATAGGGCCTTTTCTGGCAGAGGGGTGTAGTGCACAAGAACCTATTTTCACTTAATCAGGCATCTAGAATCTGGCACCGCAAGATGTTCTGCTTGAGCAGTTTAGGGGCGGGGTTTCGGGCCTCACCCTTCATGCCGTCCTGTCCTGGACAAGCGTACAACTCGGTCGTACTTCAAGGGCTACCCGCAGGGCGCACCTATGGATAGGTTCCTCTATAAGACCACAGAGGAGACTTGAATCTTTCCCAGGATGATACCTAAATGGAAAACTACCCGCATTATTGCTGATACTACTGGTATCATTTTATGTGTATATATATATATACATAGATATGAAGAAGGGGCGTAGCTACAAGTGACCATGAATCACCAACAATGTCGAACTGGCTGGCTTGTGAGTAGCAGCCAGTGCACAGCGACGTGGAAATCGAAACTGGCAGAGAGTAGACATGGGTGTTGTCATGCCACACTGTTCGTGCTGCACCATTTGGGGGGTTCGAATTTGCAGAACTTCCCATGATCGTCACAGCAGCCACCCCAAACCCTGTAAACCCTAAAGCCCTAAGCCCCTAAACCCCTAACCCCAAAACCCTAACCCCTTTTAACCCTAAACCCGAAACCCCAACCCCTAAATCCCTTGTAACCCCTAAACCGCGCTGTAACCCCTAAAACCCCCTTACTGTAGAGCTACACCAACCCCTAAATCCCTTGTAACCCCTAAACCCCGCTGTAACCCCTAAAACCCCCTTACCCTAAGGTTCTTTTTTGGGGTTCATATATAGAATCCTTTAAGGTAATCCCAAAAAGGAACCACTATGGAGCCCCTAGGTAGAGCTCTGTGAAAATCCGAGCTGGAGCTCCTTTGCTCAACCAGGCGCCCGTCGTGCCTCAGCTCGGTGCAAAAAAAGGGGCCTTAAGAATCCCTTTAAAGGGTTCCTTACAGAATAGGGCTCCTTTACAGAGTTCCAATAAAGGGTCTGTAAGGCTTACTATAAGGGTTTCGGGTTTAGGGTTGATAGAACAGGGTTTTAGGGCCCATTCTACTATATCTTTAACAAGGAACCTTCGAAATAGTATTGGTAAATATTGAGGACCCTATAGTAGGTTTTAGGGCTTTTTGCTGAGCTGCTTTGTAATGTCTGCCAACCACAAGCAGACCAAATCCAGGCTTCTAGGGTTTGGGGTTTAGGGGCCGACTAAGATTGCGTCCAGTGAACATGGCTGGGGGCATCATGGGTAGATTGCGGTTCAATATCGCAAAACCCGACTAAAACCTGAGGCCATAAACCTTTGAATTATGGTATCTGTTTCCTGAGCCCCCCCCTCCCCCGCGATGCATCCTACTTGACGGGCCCCCTTAATCCTGGAATTCCTCGATCTGAGGCTCGGCTTCAGTGTTAAGTCTTCGTTTAGGATTGTGGGTCGGTCGGTGTGTGTGTGTGTGTGTGTGTGTGTGTGGTTGTGTGGTGTGTGTGTGTGTGTGTGTGTGTTTGTGTTGGTGTTTTTGAACGCATTTTACCATCTGCCAGATAAGGGTTTAGGGCTTAGGGTTTAGTGTGTAGTGTCCTTTTTCCAGTTCAGGGTTTCCCAAAACCCTGAGCACTTAACTCCTAAACCATGCTTGCTTGGCAGTATTTTACCATATTGCGTGTCACAATATTTACTGTGTATCCCCACAATGAAACCCGAACAAAAACAAGACATGCACTCGCCACCATTCAGGAATCGTTTATAGAGCAACCAATCATAACTGAATCCTACTACACACATTCTAGCATCACAGGAATGGATCCTTCGCGGTCCTTGCAACGGCCTCAATGTAAGTTACAGTGTTTGCTTTGACAGGTATAAATGCAAACAATACTGCTCGCTTTCCTTGTTGCGGTAGCAACAAAAAGCCAACGCTTAAACAGGAACCTAGACTCTTTTGTTCCCTTGCCCCCAAGCACAGAAAGCAGACGTATACACGGCTCTTGGAACTGATCCTGGGCCTACGACAGCACAATCTCCATGAAGACAACATGTTCGACATCAATATGTACTCCTGATCATATTGCAAGAGCCGCAACCTCAGCACCAAAAATAGGCCGGTTGCAGTATGTTTGTTCAGATCATGCCTGGACGGACGCTGTTCGCCTTTCCCCACCTGCACGGCAAATACTAATGCCCTCAACCCCAGACCTCAACTCCGTGAAGAAAGTTTCAGTTCAAAACCAACCAAACCCTAAGCTCCGACCCCTAAACCCTAATAATTACCTGAACCCTCCTTTTTTGAACCCGGACTCTGCTGATCAGCTGGGGAGGAAAACCGCTAACCCCTAAACCCAAAACCCCTAAACCCTAAACCCCAAACCCCCCAAACCCTAAAGCCTAAACCCTAACCCCTAAATCCTAAACCCAAAACTCCTATAAACCCTAACCCCTAAATCCTAAACCCAAAACTCCTATAAACCCTAACCCCTAAACCCAAAACTCCTATAAACCCTTACCCCTAAACCCCTGAACCCCTAAACCCCTAAACCCTAAACCCTAAACCCCTGAACCCAGGCACGGCACAGGAGATCCAGACGCCCGGCGCGGCCGGAGCCCGGCCGTAGCTCTCCGGGGGCCCCGGGTTGGACCAAAGTTGGTCCAAGTTGGTGTCCTGGGGTTTAGGGTTTAGGGTTTAGGGGTTAGGGTTTAGGGGTTTGGGGTTTAGGGGTTAGGGGTTTAGGGGTTTGGGGCTGCAATACAATAGGAATACAAAGTAATAACTATTAACAACAGTTGTCATAAAGATTTGCAAGAACAACTCAAACAGAAGTAGTAATAAATAAAGAAAGAAATAAATACTGATAATAATGAAGATGATGATGCCGCAATGTTATAAGGCCTAAACGGCTTGCTACACGGATTCTTCAAGGTGTTTTGGCACCGTCTCGGGTTTAGGGGTTTTGGGCTTTTGGGTGCCAGTGTTTAGTCATTGTGAATGTCGAATTCCGTGCTTGATGTCGTTGACTGTATATGGCTTTACGGTTTGGGGTTTCGCTTCCCCTTGCCGAAGCCAGGAAGGGATGGAGGAGAGAATGCAGCTTGAACTGTATGACGAGAGCATCAGTCGAACGTCTGCCCAGTCTATCAGAGTCTCTCGGTGCACACAGATCCGAACTTGGACACGGAACATAGTGCAGAGAGACTTTATGATACAGCTTCTACAGCGGACGTTACATTACACATTCACACCTAGTAGCTCCCAACATGAACACGTGCCTAAGCTGACTACAGCCGCAAAAACGCGAACACCCTTAACCCACACGCTTTCTGGCTAGCCCTGAGGCCTAAGCTAAGACTGCCTACAACCCGATTCCCGCCTGAGGCCACATGCCCAAGAGGATCTCGTCAGATTGCTCCCAAGCTCCATGTAGCTCCACCACGACCTCACCGTTAGTTGACGATCCCAAGACATGAAAAGTTACTCCTTCAGACTGGCGTTACGCGATCAGTACCCAAAACTGTCGTCATTTGAGGGGAGTCTTGCGGAACTGAAGCCCTGTAGAACCTTAGAACCCAATAGAACCTTTAGAAAACCCTGGATAGGACTCTGAGAAGAGCTATGAAATTCAGACAAAACCGTGATGCAACACTTATAAAAACCCTTATATAGTTCCAGACAACCCTGATGAAACCCGTCTCAACACTCTGAAAAAACCGGGAGTCTAAATCCTACACCCTGAAACAAAGGCACGGCTGGACCACTGGTTCTCGCGCCGGTCGGAACTTAGAGAACCGGAGGGCTGTAGGGCTCTTTCAAAGGTTCCCTTACAGACTCCTTTAAGGGTAGTTTTAGGGACTCCTCTTACATTACAATTTAGGGTTCCTGTAAGGGTTCCTTTCAGGGTTCCTTGAAAAGTTCCGGAGTTCTGGGCTTGGGGCCTTCATGGGCTTGAAAGCTCGCCGACAAGATAGTCCTGACCTTAAAGTGTAGATGGTTGCTTTGGGGGTGCTATGGGATTCCTTTTGCGGGGTTTAAGGGCTCCTTAACCAAAGGCTTAGACGTTTAACGGTACAGGAATCCTGGCATGGCTTGATAAGGAAGGTGGCCTCCTGAAAGTCGTTCTGCAGGAAGTAGCTGCGGTGCTGGAGTCTGAGAGGACTGGTGGTTACCCCTAAACCCTAAACCCTAAACCCTCATTTCTATGTTGTTCCTGGTCGCTTCGAAAGGCCGAAGCCCCCGAAGCCCTAGCCCGAAAAGCCCGAAGCCCCAGGATCGAATAAAATCGAAGCCCTCCGACCCAAACGAGTGGCCTGGGCCGGTGGTGTGGGCTTGCGCGGTGCCTTGCCGCCAGCCTCTCAGCTCCCAATGGAATGGTTTTAGGGTTTATGCTCTCACAACTCGGCTTAGGTGCGGAGTTGGTGTGAAAAGTCATTGGATGTCGATTCTCACGTGGTTTTAGGGTTTAGGTTCTTTTGAACGACCCTGCTCAGTCTCAGAATTCAAGCTGAAGTTGAGGGTTTCGGGCCTAGGCTTGCTCAAAGTTTCGGGCCTAGGCTTGCTCAAAGTTTTCGAAGTCCCCATTGCCGCCCTAAAACCCTTTTTGCAACAGGCTTTCCACTTCGCCGGTGTCGCGCCTCCAACAGCCGTATCATTGGGCGCTTTACAGAGTTGGTAGGGTATGATACAAGTAAAGGTTTAAGGATGAGGCAAAAGGTCATGTGGGAGTTTCCGAAAATAGGGGACCCTGATATGGCACCTTACATAATAGGATCCTCATTATAAGGACCCCAAAATAAAGTACCCCTAATTCTCGGAAACTCCCATAAAGACCCCTGATTGTTTTCCGGTGGGATTGAAATTTGGATGCGAATGTTAAGGTCGGCAATCGAAGTGCAGTAGCCACGATTCTACAGTCACGCAATACGACGCTTAGCAGGGTTTTGTCTGTGGGATGTCGTTTGAATACGGCATAGGGCGTTCGACGCCCGAAAATCGAAAATCCATCTCCCAAAAATCTCGAGCTCCCACCACCAAAAACATTAAAGCTAACCCAACAACCCACCACATTCCACTTGAACCCTAGACCCAAGTCCTTCGCATTCGGGGCCGGAGGCGGCAGAGGAGCAGCGCGCCAAAGAGTGGAGCCCGAATAGGCCTGGACAAGTATAGCGCTTACCGGCTTTAGGGATTTTAGGGTTTCGGCGCTCACACTCGGACAATTTTAGGGTTTAGGGTTTGGGGTTTAGGGTTCTAGAACCTAGAGATTTCATAAGTTTCGCGAAGGGGGTGTTATGAGGTTCTCTGTGGATTTGAAGAAGGTTTTCGTTCAGCCGGTGTGGGCTAAACCCTGCTCGATGCTCATGGGCCATAGTAAGTAGGGTTAGCTACCTGGGCGGTGGGCTGTGGAGATTATCGTAGGGTTATGAAGGATATCATGTGAATCTGGTTTAGACCCTAAGCCGCCCTATAAACCCTAGACCCTAGCCCGAAAGCCCATTGTCTCACCATGCATCTTCATGAGCTGGGCAGTCTGCAGCAAAAAGCACCCAAGTCCCGCTGATTTGAAGCTCCGAAGCCCGGCAACTAAGATTGCGGACGAAGCAGCCCTTTGCAAAGAAGCGCCTGTGCGGTGTCTCAACACTCCTGTCTACTGCACACAGCTAGTAAGCCCATTAGAAAGTCCCCAATACTTGAAAACATCTTAATTCTCAAGTGATTGCAATGATAAACAATTGGGAGTTTCCGAAAATTCGGGGTATCTTATTTAGGGGTCCTTATAATAAGGATCCTACCATTTAGGGTATTATAGTAGGGTCCCATTGTTTCTGAGCAACAGCCTCTGGCCTCGAACTCCGCATCCAAGTGCCTCGCCATCGACGACATTTTGAACACCTCAGGGAAAGGCCGGGCTTTGTAGGTTCAATGCCTTTAGGGTCTGCTTGGCTATGCCCGACATTTTGGAAAGTGGGGTGACTAAATGTGTTTATGGCTAGAGGTTAATGTCGGAACGACGACGACTACTACTACAACTACGACTACTGCTGCTACTACAACTACCAAAACGACGTCTACTGATATGACGACGACGACGACGACTACGACGACTACTACTGCTGCTGCTGCTGCTACTGCTGCTAGTGCTGCGATTACTACTTTTACTTCTACTTCTACTTCTACTTCTACTTCTACTGCTACTGCTACTGCTGCTACTACTTTACATATACCGACTGTATCGAAGAGGAGTATGTCGTTCAAAGCACTGTATTGGCAAAGATGAGAACCAGCATGCAGATGCGCATCGGCAAGATGTCGGGACATCAACCAAGCCAGGCAGACGATATCCAAGCATCCTCCTTTAAAGGAACCTGAGAACCCTTACACCCATAACCCTCAATCCCCAAAGGAGCCCTCAAACTCTGAACCCCAAAACTGACAGAGGCTACGATGTCACTAGCGTCCTCCCGGAGTGCAGGGGAGCGAAGCGAACCAAGTTCAAGCAGAGGCCAAGACCATGTTCAACTGAAATTCTGGGTGTAAGGCAGAGGAATCAGAGTATAAGACGCAAAAACGGAAACCTTTGAAACCTTGAACGTTAAGCCGTCGTACAAACCTGACTACAAATATAACCCTCAACCTGACTTTACAAGCCCCACGGCGAAGCCTGGACAACATTCCTCCTGAAGAGCCTCAAAGGTGGGATGAAGTCAGGTACATAGCCACCATTCATCCCACCTTTGGAGCTTGTCCTGAACTGAGAGTCTCCGAACATCGGTGGTACCTCATTTTGGGGTCCTTAGAATAAGGATCCTACTATTTGGGGTAGCATACTGGGGTCCCTTGTTTTAGGAAACTCCCATATACGACCATATACTGCCATTATGGGTTCCTTGAAGGGGTCCTTTAAGGGTATTATGCTAGGGCCCCCATATTTTCGGAAACTTAAACCCTGAACCGTTTATAGAGCCCTTATAGATCCCTTTAGGGAACCCTTAAAGGATCCCCTTACAAGGGTCTCTTAATTTTCGGAAGCTCCCAACTCAGAGCCAGGCCCAGACTCCCTCGGCCTTCTCGACATGCCTGGCTTGAAGGTGCCCTTCACATGACAAAAAAGGGGCCTTTATAATTAGAATAGGGTTTTGGGGACCATTCTACTATAACTATAAGAAGGAGCCCCCGAAATAGTATAGGTAGTTTTAAGGCCCTTGTATTTCATGTTCAGAAGTCGCCGTTTGGGTTCAGGGCCTAGGGTGCTCCTGGAGGATCGAGGGAATGTGCATCATTTAATAACTGACCGGGTGAATGAATGAATCTATGAATGAATGAACTAACCAAATGAACAAACGAATAACTGAGCGAACGAACGGATGAAGGGCAAATGAAATAATGCATGAACGAATGAATGAAGCCACGATCTTCTGCATTGAGCCGAATGAACCGAATGAACGGAGTGAAGTGAAAGAAAGAAATAACGAGGAAAGATACAACGAACTGTCGAAATGACTGAATGATGGGTTGAAACGGATGAATGAATGGATTGATGGATGGATGGATGGACGGACGGACGGATGACTGTCTGCCTGGGTAGGTGAATGCATGCATGCATGCATGCATGGACGTGTTGATGGATAGATGCAAAAATCCCGGTAATTACTGCATGGACGAATGAAGGAAGGAAGGCAAACGGATAGACAGTGCCTCTGTGCTTTCTGCCCCTTTTGCTTGTCCCTGGTCATGGTTCCTTCCTTTATTCATTCGACTCGCACTTTCGTTCCACATCATTCCACTTCATTCCATTCCATTCATTCGTTCATTCATGTCGTCTGGTTTTATTAATTCATTCCTTCCTTCATTCATTCCGTGCGTTTCATCACCTCATTTATGCATTCCTTCGTTCGTTCTTCTCAGTCATGCATGTCTTCGTTCGTTCCATCCATGCACTCCTCCATCCATCCGTTCATGCATTTCAACCGCTCGTTCACTGGATTTATATGTACTTTCGCTTCAGATAAAGCTTACTAACTAAGCCCCCGGATCCTGCAAGGGAGTTTACTAAGGCTTGGAGTTAAGTACAGAATACCAGACCACATACGGTGTAAGTTTCTCGCAACATGCCGGCGAAATGCTGAACAGTACCTAGCCGACAGCACTCTAGACTTTGTAATTAATGTGGGTGTCGGTTTAGGAATATAGGCTCCTTTAATGCGTCGGCTCGGGGGCTAATTCCGAATCCGAGTAAAATTTTTGGGGTACTAATTAATGCGGTTTTTTTTTTGGCTGGGGTGATTTTTTGGTGGCGGGGCTGTGCTATTTGCTGATGGTCAATCTTAAGGCAGCCACGACCTAAACCCCCACCCAAACCCCCACCCAACCCTAAAACCCTGGCCCTGAAGCCCGAAAATCTCTTGCAGAATTGTTTCGCTTATTGGGGCGTCAGGAATGGGACTCTGTACTACTACTGTACTACTATTGTAACTATTGTACTGCTACTGTATGCCTTGCTTATTGGGGGGGGCTGCTAGGGTGAACCGCCGAATCGGGGATTGGACCCTAGCTCAAAAGAGGCCTCTCCAGTACTACAGTTTGTATAAAAAATTCAATTTTGGGTCCAATCTGGACCGACCCCCCTTTGGGAAGGGTTTAGGGCTTAGGGTTTAGGGTTTGTTAAGGTTTAGGAGTTTAGGGTTCGTTAGGGTTTAGGGGTTAGGGTTTAGGGTTCAGGGTTCAGGGTTTAGGGTTTCAGGCGCTGGCTTTATGCTTTGCTTATTGGGGGAATGTGCTCACTGGCTTTATGCTTTGCTTATTGGTATTATTTCTGTACTATTACTGTGTTACTATTGTACTACTGTACTACTGTTGTACCACTACTGTACTACTAGTGTACTACTGTACTACTATTGTACTACCACTGTACTATTACTGTACTCCTATTGCACTACTGTACTACTATCGTATTACTACTGTACTACTATTTGCGAACGGACTGCGATGCCTTGTCAAGTTCTAAGGTGTCACTATAAGAGCTGTGAGCAAGACCGTGTAAAGTGCAAGAGAAGGGGGCACGCTACGCGTCCCTCGACTCTAAGGGGGCATGCTACGCATCCCTCATCTTTACCTTTCTATGTGACCGCCAACGCAACGTTTGGCTCAAGTCAATGCCCATAGCTAAGTGCTATATGTGTCTTCTATCCTGAGCAATCAGAGCTATCCCGTTGCACAGACGAACCGCCGCCGGCAGTGAGTGCAAAAGGAACGGCCGCCGGTTCTGCCTGCATAGGATTGCACGTGTGGAAGTAAGAGGGAGAGACAGGGTCCAGTCTGTGGAGAGTGCAAGCCAGCCACACCTACATTCATTACAGCTCTGGTGGGGAGAGCAGCAACCAAGTCGAGATCAATCCCCCACGCAGGTTATCAGCCGTACGCGGCTCTGCCTTTCTACAGCAACGACTACTTGATCTACTACGACCACAATGAACTCAGGATCAAGCCAAGATACGACAATGACTTTCGGTGCCGATGTGGCAGCGCCAGCCGTTGGTGAGTCAACAGCTGATGACACAGTGGTGCAATCCGTTGATAGCTCCACGGAAGATGACAAAGGTCAATCTTCTGCGCTTGCCATTGCAAAGGCAGTTCCCAAGGGGAAAGCAAAGAGTCTACCAAGAGCATCTACGCCTTCGCGTCCGACATCCACAGGTTCGAGGACGGGCAAGGCTTCAGAACGACGGGCCGAAGCGTCTGGTTTTCAGGCACCTCGGACTACGTCCAGGGCCAAGGACAAAGGAGTCAAGACCTTGGAAAAGAAGTCAAGGCCATCATCTTCGAGAAGCTCTTCAGCACGATCGAGGACTTCGGCTACTCGTGGGCGTGACAAATCCATGACTTGGAATCGGATGGTTACCAATCAACCACGCGATGCTGACGATCTGGATATGACTCTGGATACGATTCCTGCACGTGGTGATGCGTCGTCCGTGGCCACGCCTGCCATAGCCGATGGTCCGAACGCTTATCAGGAGCTGACGATTTCGCAACAGTTCGAAGCATCGAACCTTGCACAGCAGATGTACTATCGCAGTCAGGTGCAAGAATACGAAGGAATTGTTCAGACCCTGATGGACAAGATCAAGGAGATGCAACAAGAAGATGAAGGATCTGGAATTCGCATTGAAGAATTGGAACGACAACGTGACCATGCATGCTTAGCCATGAGGCACATCAACAATGTCAATCAGGAGATGAAGCGAGACTATGAAACAGCTTTGTTTCGCATGGATGAACAGAACTCTGCTCAACAACGTCAAGCACATGCCGTTGCCGAGGAGTTAGCTCAACAGCTACACGTGTTCCGCACGGAGGCAGCCACTAACTTTGTGCAGTTGGAGGCAAGAGCGCAAGGCGATGGTGAGCTTATGGCACGTGAGTATGAGCGTCTGACTCATGAACTTCATGAACATGCCAGAGAGAACTTGGTCCTCCGGTCAAACACAGCAAGTTCGGAACAAGCCTTACAAGCAATGCAGGAACGATTCCACTTGGTCAAGAACCAGGAGTTGCGGGCCGTGAACGAGATCCAAGGGCTAGCTGGAAACAGCGCAGCCATTGATCAAGAACGATTTCGGCTTCGCGAACGTCTTGGTGAAGAGGAAGAGTACCGCAAAATGGCTGTGAAGAGGATGCAAGAAGCAGAGGACCGACTTCATCAGAATGAAGATCATGCAAGGCGATCATTGCCTACCTTGCACGACGAGCTGAGTGAACTCAGGAAAACGCTCAAAGCACAAGAAGATCTTCAAGCGAGGACACGCAGCGAATTGGAGGCAGCGCGAAACTCCAATTATGGAGGAGCGACACGGCCTTCAAGCATGCCCATGTCTTCGAGGACTACTGAGTCT